GCTGACCCCGACCCCTGTCCTTGCAGCTTTGACGACATGGACCTGCCCTCCGCCGTCAAGTACCTCATGGCCTCGGACCCCAACCTGCAGGTGCTGGGAGCCGCCTACATCCAGCACAAGTGCTACAGTGATGCGGCGGCCAAGAAGCAGGTGAGCGGCCGTGGTCCGCGAGCGCCCCCGCCGGTGCCCCTTCTCGCTGCCCCCGCGCCCACGGGCGACCCGGGCCCACAGAGCCGTCCCCGCAGCGAAGGGGGAGGCGCTTGCGATGGGCACACCTCCGCCTGGCCCTGTGTGGCTGTGAACGCATCTGTGCACACCCGCGCGCCGCCCGCACAGCCACACGCGTCCACGCGCACCGAGCCACGCGCACTCGTGTGCTGACACCCACCTGCCCGTGCGCAGGCCCGCAGCCTTCAGGCGGTGCCCAGGCTGGTGAAGCTGTTCAACCACGCCAATCAGGAGGTGCAGCGCCACGCCACCGGCGCCATGCGCAACCTCATCTACGACAACGCGGACAACAAGCTGGCGCTGGTGGAGGAGAACGGCATCTTCGAGCTGCTGCGCACACTGCGGGAGCAAGACGACGAGCTGCGCAAGAATGTCACAGGTGTCCCCGTGCCGCCTCCCCCGCCTGCTGTCCCTCTGCCTGTCCCCATGCCTCCCCCTGCCTGCTGTCCCTCTGCCTGTCCCCTCCACTCCCCCCCGGCCCCGCGGCTGTCCTGGTGCGCACCTCTGCGGCTAGCCTCCAGACCCTGGTCCCTGAGCATTGTCCTGTCCTCTGTGTCCCGCCCCGAGACCTGCAGCTCACACGCAGGCCCTCTAGTGCAGCTCTTGGGTGAGGCCCCAGATGCCTCGCTGGCGGGCAGGAGGGAACCTGCAAGCTGTCACTGACCACAGCCACGCCCCCACCTGCCCCAGGGATCCTGTGGAACCTGTCCTCCAGCGACCATCTGAAGGACCGGCTGGCCCGAGACACACTAGAGCAGCTCACGGACCTGGTGCTGAGCCCCCTATCAGGGGCTGGGGGACCACCCCTCATCCAACAGAACGCCTCCGAGGCTGAAATCTTCTATAACGCCACGGGGTTCCTCAGGTGTGCGGGAAGGGGGCAGTCAGCTGGGAGAGGCCAAGAGGGTGGCCTGGGGAGAGAGCTGAGTGCCTGTAAGGGGGCAGGGGAGGCCTGGAGAAGGGACCTTTGACTCTGAGGGCCAGTGGCAAGGCGGATGGGAGGGCGGCTGGAGGGCAAGGCACTGGCACCCGTGCAGAAGTGAGACCAGAAGCTGGGTGTGGCTGCGATGTCCGATGTCCCAGGCCCTGGGGGTGGCGGGCTCAGATTTCATCAAATCGGGGACTTCATCAGACAGTCATAATCCCCATCTGGATGCTTGGAGGGCCGAATGGATGCTAAGCAGCGGGGCCCAGCTCCGGGGGGAGGAGGCAGGCTGGGGCTCAGGGGCTCCCCGCTGGGGTTTGGTTCCCACTGGGGATCTCGGATCTGCCTCCGCCCACAGGAACCTCAGCTCAGCGTCCCAGGCCACTCGCCAGAAGATGCGTGAATGCCACGGGCTGGTGGATGCCCTGGTCACCTACACCAACCACGCCCTGGATGTGGGCAAGTGCGAGGACAAGGTGAGAGGCAGTCATCACCTCGGGGCCCTGGGGGTTTCTAGCCCATTCTGACCACGGCCTGCCATCTGCAGAGCGTGGAGAACGCCGTGTGCGTGCTGAGGAACCTGTCCTACCGCCTGTATGACGAGATGCCGCCGTCCGCCCTGCAGCGGCTCGAGGGCCGGGGCCGCAGGGACATGGCTGGGGCGCCACCTGGCGAGGTGGTGGGCTGCTTCACACCCCAGAGCCGGCGGCTCCGAGAGGTGGGCGCGGGCTGGCAGCCGGGGTGGGGGGCCCTGGCCTGAGCCTGGCTGACCCTCCCCGCCTCTCTCCAGCTGCCCCTCACAGCCGACGCGCTCACCTTCGCCGAGGTATCCAAGGACCCCAAGGGTCTTGAGTGGCTGTGGAGCCCCCAGATCGTGGGGCTGTACAACCAGCTGCTGCAGCGCTGTGAGCTCAACCCGCACACAACCGAGGCGGCCGCTGGGGCCTTGCAGAACATCACGGCGGGCGACCGCAGGGTGAGGCCCCGGCCCAGCCTCTCACGGGGGACGCACGGGGAGAACAGGGGCTCAGGGAGGGCTGCTGTGGATTCTGTTGGGGCGGGACGGCAGAGGAACGCACACCTGCGGAGGAGCCAACATCGGAGGGACCGGCCTGACGTGCTGCAGAGGGACCCCGAGGGGTAGCAAGGGGTGTGAGGCCAGCATCCCCGGCCGGGCAGGCTCCAGAGGTCCCTGAGGATTTAAGGAGAGGTTTGAGCAGAGGAGGGACCCACCTGAGGCACAGTTGGTGAGGCTCCTGGCTGGGGCTGAAGGCAGAAACAGGAAGACCTCTCAGGAGAGATACAGTGCGGGGCTGGTCCCACCTCAGAGTCTCGCAGATCGGCTGGGGACAGAGAGGGACACAGAGAAGAACCAACCTGGGGTGCAGGCCACAGGGCTGGGGCTCCGCCCGCTCTCACCAGCTCCTCTCCTCCCCCGCCCCCACCCCCCGCAGTGGGCGGGCGTGCTGAGCCGCCTGGCCCTGGAGCAGGAGCGTATCCTGAACCCGCTGCTGGACCGGGTTCGGACCGCTGACCACCACCAGCTGCGCTCACTGACTGGCCTCATTCGAAACCTCTCTCGGAACGCCAGAAACAAGGACGAGATGTGTGAGTCGGGCCATCCCGAAGCCTGGGTTCCGTCCTCACCCTGCCTCGCTGGGCTCACACCCGGATTTTCTCTTCTGCTCTCCATTTGGGCTGGCCTCTGGCAGCTGGAGCTGAGGGGATGGACAGGGCTGGGGGGACCGGAGGTGCTCAGGTGGCTGGGAGTGGAGGTGGAGGCTGGCTTCCCAACCCCCCCGACCTCCTGGCCTCCCGGCAGCCACCAAGGTGGTGAGTCACCTGATTGAGAAGCTTCCTAGCAGCGTGGGCGAGAAGTGTCCCCCAGCCGACGTGCTGGTCAACATCATCGCTGTGCTCAACAACCTGGTGGTGGCCAGTCCCATTGCCGCCCGAGACTTGCTCTACTTTGACGGGCTCCGAAAGCTGGTCTTCATCAAGAAGAAGCGGGACGGGTGAGCCCCTCCCCATCCCCGCACCCCTCCCCATGGCCCCGCGAGTCTCCCTGCTGACTCCCGCTGCCCCCCCCCAGCCCAGACAGTGAGAAGTCCTCTCGGGCAGCCTCCAGTCTCTTGGCCAACCTCTGGCAGCACCACAAGCTCCACCGAGACTTCCGGGCGGTATGTTCTGGCAACCTGGGGCCGGCAGGGCTACCGGTGTTTGACCTGGGTATAGGACGTCGAGGGGTCAGGGTGGGAGGAGGGGTGCGGGGACAGTGGGGAGGGGGGACAGACCCGGGAACTCCCGCAGAGCAGGAGACTCAGGAAGTGGGAAACGTGAGATCGGAGACCAAAGACCCAGAGGGGATCCGGGCCCAGACCAGGAAGGGTGGGGGCCTGGGGAGAGCAGGGCTCAGAAGGCAGGCACCCTAACTCTGGGCCCCCTCTCCACTGCAGAAGGGTTATCGAAAGGAGGACTTCCTGGGCCCATAGGTGAGGCCTTCCTGGAAGAGGAGGATACGACGTGGCCCAGCCTCCAAGGGATAGGCTCAGCTCTGCGCTGCTCACTGGCCAGGCCACTGGAGAAGGCTGATGGATGGCCTGGGGCCTCTTGCTGGAGCCCTGCGTGTGCCAGAAGGCCGATGGCCTGGGGCCTCTCGCTGGAGCCCTGCGTGAGCCCTTAAAGGGCCTGGGGCACCAGGGACGGGACGGGTGCTGGTTGCAGGGACTTGGCTTCTACAGGGCGGGGGGAGGGTAGGGCTTGAGGCTGCTCTGGTGCGTGGGGTGGGGCGGTGACCAGGCCACATTGGCAAAGGTGGAAATGGCCAGTGCTGGGAATAAAGGTGGTCATGAACACAGCCCTGCAATTTTCTTCGGCCAGCCCAAGCTGGGGGCCCAACCCAGGGATACAACCCAGTGTCCCCGAGCACAACCATGCCTGTCCCTGAGGGAGCTCCCGCCCTGAGCACACCCAGAGGCTTCTCCAGGTCAGGAGGCCCAGGACGAGGAAGAGAGAGTAACCCTTGGGGAAAGCTGGTGAGAGTGGAGGGAACAGGGTAGACGGCAGAGTCAGCCCTGATGCCGGCTGAGGCCCAGACACAGCAGAGCTGGGGACCTTGTGCAGAGGAGTGAGCACGACTGGGAGAGCTGCGAGCTCTCCTGGCTTTGCTGCCACCTGCTGGGCTGTCCTCTTGTGGCACACGCACCCAACACCCTGCGTCCCTCGGCCTGGGGGCTCCTGGCCGGGGACTCGCACTGTCCAATGGAGTCCTGGGATCCCACGTCACCAAAGCAGGTCCACTCTATTTTTATAACAAAGGACTTCTTCCTTAAAGCTCAAAACCTGGGGGCGCCTGGGTGGCTCAGTGGGTTAAAGCCTCTGCCTTCCCCTCAGGTCATGGTCTCAGGGTCCTGGGATCGAGCCCCGCATCGGGCTCTCTGCTCAGCGGGGAGCCTGCTTCCCTCTCTCTCTGCCTGCCTCTCTGCCTACTTGTGATCTCTCTGTGTGTGTGTGAAATAAATTTAAAAATCTTAAAAGAAAAAAAAAAAAAGCTCAGAACCTGAAGAGTAAGGGGCCTGCCCCTCCCCCAGAACCTGGCTGGATCAGAATAGGGTAGTGGACAGTCATGCCCCCAAGCAGACAGACCAAAGAGGCTACTACAGGAGACGTTTCTGAGCTGGCTCAGGAGGGAGGATGGACGACAGGACGGCAGGGACAGCCGGATCTGTGACGGAGTTGAGGAGCCCGAGGGCCACTGACGGCGGAGACGGAAGTGAGGGGTGCCCCGCTCAGGGGCTGCAGACCCCCTTCCGGACCCAGGAGAGGAGAAGAGAGGCTGAGGCCCAGGCAAGATCTAAAAGGACTTTATTTTCTGGCACAAGGAGGCACACTGGAGCAGCTTCCTTGCCTGAGGGTCTCAGGGCTGGTAGTCCTGCTAAGGGGAGCAAGATCCCAGCCCACCCCACACCCAGCGGTCCTTGGAGCACTTGCTGTTTGGGCCGGCGGGGGCTACACGTCATCCTCGGACACAAGGCAGTAGAAGTCCGTGCGGGCGCTGTAGTTTCTGGAGCCGAGGTCTGAGACATCCACTTCACTGCCCCGGCCCTCTCCCAGCGAGACCGCACTGGCATGTGGTGGAGCTAATGGCTCCCCAAAGACGGGCCCCCGGACACCTGGGATGAGGGTAGCATCAGGCCTCCGGCTGGGCTACCCACAGCCTGGCCCACGCATGGGGGTCCCTCCCTGCTCACCCTCCTGCCATGGTGGCATTTGAGGTCCTGGAGGTTCCCAGGGAGGCCCCAGGCCCAAGTGCCCCCCAGAAAAGAGGCAGTGGGAGTGTGCTATGGCCTGCAGGGAGGAGTCTCTCAGCCCTGTGGACCACCCCCCCACACACACCCAGCCCAGGCCAAGCTTCTCCGGCTGAGGGGTGGGGCCAGGGGAGCCTACCCAGGTCCCCCTCGGGGTCGGGGTCCTGCTCCAGACTCAGGGTCCCGCGCTCCCGGACGCGGCCTTGTGCGATGAGCATGGGGTCTTTGTCGTCCTGCAGCCGCGTCTGGGGGTCTCCCTCCGCGGCTCTGTACCGCACCTTCCGCGGCAGCGCCAGCTGCAGCTCTTTCCAAAAGTCTGAAGACGGCGCCTGGGGGCCAGGATGGGTCCGTTAGCCTGGCCACCCCAGAGAGCACCCCTGGAAGGAGCGCTCCCGTCTCAAAGGAGGCCCCTCTTCTGGGCAGCAGGCCGCAGGGCCCTCCCCCACGCGGTCCCGGTCCCAAACCCCCAGAGCATACAGCGGCCCGCGGAGGGGCCCCCTCCGGAGCCCGGAACCGCCCGGCCCTACGCCGGGCCCCTGCCCGCGCCCTCTCCTCACCACGGAGCCGGGCCTCCAGAGCAGCAGGGTCACCAGGTGGCGGTGCTGGCGCAGCAGGCGGAGCGCGGGGTGCGCGGGGTCGCGCCTCTGGCCCTCGAAGGTGATGAAGATGGGTCTGCGCGTGAGCTCCAGCAGCCGGCACAGGCCTTCCCTGCGGGGGCGGGGCCGTCAGGGGGGCCGCGGCCGGGGGCCCACCCATCCCGGCGCGGGACCCACCGGAAGCTGTGGCTGCACCAGGCCCGGCCGAGGAAGGCGTCCGACAGCACCACGATGAGGCGCCGGCAGCGGCTCAGGTTCACCAGGAGGTCGGCGGAGGGCTCTGCGGGAACCGGGCGTCGGCGGGGCCGGGGCGGTGGGGTGGGGGTGGGGGGATTGGGGCGGGGCCATGGGGGAGGGAGGGGCCCGGGCTCGAGACGGGGAGGGGCCTGGACGGAGGGCGGGCTCGGTCCCAGAGAGGGGCGTGGCGGGGCCCTGGGGGCGGGGCCCCGGGAGGGAGTGGCCCGGGCTCGAAACGGGGCGGGGCCTGGACGGGGGGCGGGCTCGGCCCCAGAAAGGGGCGGGGCGGGGCCGGAGGTACCGGCGCGCGGCAGGAGGTCGCGGTCGTCCAGGAAGAGCTTGTAGCCCCGCCGGCGCTCGAGCTGCGGCTTCAGGATGAAGTTCACGAATTTCCGGTCCTCGGGGCTGTCGCTGTAGGAGACGTAGGCGTCGTAGAGCTTCCCGTCTGCGGACGGCGGCGGGTCAGCGCTCCGCTTTCGAGGCCCAGGCCCACCGCCCCCACCCTCCCGCGTCTTCTAAGCTCTCCCCACGTGCGTGCGGGGACCAGGCCCTCCCGCCGCAGCCGGACCCCGCAGATCCGGCACACGCGCCCGCAACCCGCCCCCGGGCCGCGCCTAGACCGTCTCTCCAGCGCTGGACTTAGGTCGCCCTGCCCGCTTCTGCCCACCTCGCCCCTCTCCGGGGCTTGTGTGCTCGGCAGAGCCTGCGGAGGGCCGCCGCCTCCCCGCTGCAGACCTGCAGACCCGCGCCCACCCCTCACTTGCCGGGGCAGCTCGCCCACCCTGATCTGAGCTCATGCTCCCTCCTTGCCCATCAGGCCCGCGCACCGTTCATCTCCACCTCCCCGTAGGCGTCCTGGTACCAGAGCAGCACACTGAGTCGACACTTCATGTAGAGCAGGGCCGCCAGGAGCAAGACCAGCAGGACCAGGAGTGAGGCCAGCACCGCGGCCACGTGGCCTGCTGGGCCTGGGGACAGAGCCACAAGCCTGAACCAGTGCCACCCCCACCCAGCATCCTCCCAGCCTCAAGGTTCCGCAGGCCCCCTAGGCTTCCCTTCTACCTTCCGCCTACTGTACCCCACTCACCAGCTCTCCAAAGGGTGAAGGGGGAGGAGCTGACGTTCCGGATGGAGCAGGTAAAGGCCCCATAGTCCTCAGCACGGGTCAGGTTGACCCCCAGAACACTGGACACAAGCACCTCTGAAAAGTTGTTTTTGACCCTGGGGAGATCAGACCCAGCCCTCTCACCTGGGGCATCACTGGATGCCCCTGGGCCCCACCTATCAGACTTAACCACAGAGGCTGCAGACATGGGCTTCCCGAGCAGTCCTTGCCCGGCTAGCTAAGAGAAGTGGCCAGAACATGGTGGGGGTGTGACTCTGTTTGAGGATAGTCGCCCAGATCCTGGGTCTGGATTTTGGGGGTCAATGCCTAATTCAGGCTGTAGGATTGTGCTGGTACACATGGTCCTGGGCTGTCTACAAGGTACATGTCCGCAGGGGCCCCCTGTCCCTGCTGTCACTAACCCTTAGTCTGTGTCAAGAGTGGCACTCTGCCCATGTCCAGGGGGTTATGGACCAGGGTTCAGGTGGCCGTGGGTGTGACCGGGGTGGTCACCTGACCCTGGACTTCCATCTCTTACCAGGAGTCTTCATGGAGGTCATAGTGGGTCCCGTTGCCCAGCGGCAGCCTGTCTTTCAGCCACTGGACTGAGGGCGGGGAACAGTGAGGCCCAGAGACCACCCAGGCCGTGCAGTTCAGAGCCACAACACTGCCCAGGGCAGGCTCCAGGGCCTGGTTTCCAGTTGGCGATAGGAACTCAGGGGCCCTGTCACAGATGCCTACAGAGAGAGGACCCAGGGGTTAGCCGTGCCTGGAATGCTGGGCTCCCCCCAACCACAGATGGTCTGTGGGTCAGGGAAAAAATAAGATGTCTGTGCACAGGTCCCACAGGGGACAGGGCTTGTCTTCCCCCAGGAGGAGCTGGCTCTTGGGTGTTCTGCCTGCTCTTGATGTGGCTGCTCTGTCCTCAGAGAGGACGCTGGAAGGCGGGGGCCAGAGTCACAGCAGATCTGACCCCCCCCCCAGCCCCATGGGGGCCCACCTGGCTGCTGCTCACCCAGCCAGGACATGAGCCCAGCTCCCACATGTGCTGTGTAACTCTGTGGCCAACTGCTGCAAGACCCACCCCGGGTGAGCAGCTGGGCGCTGCCCCCCCTTACCCCGCCACTTCTGCTGGGGGAGCTGCCCCAAGTGTGAACACTGAGCAGGCCAGCACTTTCCACCCGGAATGGGGGCACGGGACTCCAGGACCCTCTCCTCCTGGTCATGGGCAAGCTTGCCCTGCTCCCTGAGACCTAAATGTTCTGATTTTCAAATCAGGGTGAAGAGTCCTAGTGGGACATGAGAGGAGAACCCCATCATCTTGATGGGGTGGTCTCTTGGCAGCCCACATGTACCCATCCTGCCCCTGGGCCCTGCCACCAGCTCCCATTCCCAATGTCCCTGAGCTCTGCTGACCCCCATGACCGTGGTAATGGAAGCTTTGGGCCAGAGAGAGCTCTGGGCCTGTCCTAACCATGGGGTCAGGACCTCGGGCTGTGTAGGAAGGGCAAGCGTAAGCCTTTGTACCCCTGGCTGGAGGCCAAGCCAAGGGCCCCAGCAACGTCACAGCGTGGAACCAGCCTGAGGGACAAGAGGGGGAAGTGGGGCCCGTGCCTGTCCCTCTTTGACCCATCTACCTGCCATGGTCTGGCTGGGGCCTCCTTGAGGCAGGCTGGTCACTGGTGCCACCCCCCGGTTCCGCGGGGCTCCTTGGATGAGCAGATGAGTCCTCCGGGGGCCGGGCGAGACTCACTCTCTGTCTTTGTGAATGGTCAGTCAGGGCACCAGAACGGGTCAGAGGCTGCTGCCATCCCGAAGGAGGAAGTTAAACAAGAACAGGGTGAGTTAACATGTAACTTTGCACCGGCGGCCTCCCGATGCTAGGGACGCCCGCACAGACAGCATCACTTGGAACACGTCGCCCAGGGCTGGAGCAGGCACAGCAGGGAGGGGCCCTTGGATGGCACTGCACCTGTCCCAGGGCCACCATGAGGGCCCAGGGAGGGACCACAGAGGCACACCCTGGCAGCCCTCACGAGGGTGGGAGGTGGCTGTGTTCCCACTATCCCCTGGGATGGTGGTGCCACATACAAGGAGGGACACGGGGAGGGCCGTGCTCACCCAGGCCGTGGCAGGGGTTTGGAGCCTGTGAAACTTGCCCATCCCCACGCGATAAGTGTGGGCTGCTGAACTCTGAGCCACACTCTCACTGTAGGGTTCTGTCCTAGCCGTGTCCCGTGTGTGTGGCTGTGTGGACATAGCAGCCCCCAAGGCCGAGCCAGGACACAGTCATGGAGGCAGGAGGGGACAGCGGGGGCCTGGCTGGACTGACTCTGCTCCGACAGGCCGCATGGGTCCCACCTCCTCCTGGCATCCCCTCACCCGTTTGTCATTTCCAAAACCAAAGACTTTTGTCCACATTGTCTGGCTCTCCAAGGGCAGCCCCCACCCCACCCACAGGTGACTCTTCTGTCCTACGTGGGGGCTAAGACCACTCCCCATCCAGCTGCGCAGCAGCCACACATGCCTCCTGACACGAAGAGCTCTGCAGTGATGGTGCTGGAAGGAGGGGCCCAAACCCCCAGCGTCAGAGCCTTCACGGAGAGCCTCCCTCCTGGACCCCCGGAGCCCTGCGGCCACCCCCTCCCAGGTGCCCACGTTCCCCCAAGGGTCCCAGCAGGTTCTCATAGAGCACTGATTCCACTCCTGCCGCAGGCCGTCCTCTCCACTCTGCAGGCCCCGGGGCTTCACAGGGATAAGTCTCAGCCTCCCCACCATTCCTTCTGCATAATGACACCGTGCCCACCTGGCCCCGCCTAGCCACAGCCAGAAGCCCTGGGTTTGGCTGGGATGGGATCTCCTTGGGAACTGGGGAGCATCAGCCGGGGAAGTGGTGAGGGGTTTCCTTCCAGAAGCCCCCCGGTGGAGCACAGTCTTGAGGGTCCTCGAAGCAGGAGAACCAGTCCACTGGGGGACTGTGGAACACTGGGCAGTCCACATCCCCCACCCCAGGGTGCCCAGAAGGACATGCCCTCAGCTGGGCAGCTCCCAGGGAAAACCCTGCAGCGGCCCTCCCACCTCTTCAAGCTCAGAAGAGCCCTAACCCCTGGAAAGGCAACCTTGAACCTTCCTGGAAGTTAAGGCCCAATGACACATCCAGGGACAGGCGACCCCGCCTGCACCCCACCCCCACATCATCTGTCTTGCACACCCCATGCACACACACCCTCTCCCCACACACAGCTGTGCTAAACTCCTGTCTTGGAGTGTGACCTGCATGCACACTCCCCACACCAGCACCGTGGCCACACACACACACACACACACACACACACACACATCCTTGCAACAGCTCCCACCAGGTGCGCAGCCACCAGCATCTGCACGAACCCCACATGGCACACACCGTCCCTGAGCCCGGCCCCTGCTGCTGTGGTCTGTGGCCCGTGGCCTCCGGACAGCCTCCTGCCCACCCTGCTCTGATGGACACACACATACCATGCCCACACACGCTGCGGGCCTCCCCTCAGCCAGGCCTGCCTCAGAGGACCGGCCTGGGGTTCGAATGGTGTCCGAGGATGAGTGCCCAGGCTCACGCCGGGCGGCGGGGCTGCTGTGGGAGTACGCGAAGTCACCTGGTTCCGGGTCTCTCCTCCTGGGGGGGGATGTCGGTCACTGAGGTCATTGACGTGTGCTTGGGGGCAAACTCTTTGCTCCACAGGGCCCCCAGCCCGGTCTGCAACACCACAGCACCAGGACACATCACCGAGCACAGAGAGGACCTGTCTTTTGTTTGTGTGCGTGTGTTAATCAGAACTTTCCCTGTAGCTTCCTGGCTTTGCAGTCACATCCTCTCCTAGACCCAAACCCCACCCAGGCAGCCACCAACCCCCCAGGCCGTTGGTGGCTCTCGCCCCGCCCGCCCGCCTTGCTTCTTCCTGTAACTCTGAGTCAAGCGGCTCCTTCCTCTGGGGCCCACCCCAGCCCACCCAGGCATCAGACTTCCCGAGGCCCCACCTAGGGGTGGACAGGGCCTTGCGGAGGGGCTGGAGCCCAGGGGGATGTGGGTGGGGGTGCTCCCAAGGAGACACCCAGGGGGATGTGTTGTGCCCACACGAGGAGACCCAGTGGGACAGTGTGGCCGGCTTCCCGAACGCTGCCAGCGATGCTCCCCTCGGGCTGGTGGGGGCCTGTGGGCTGCTCCCCCTCACGCCAGTGTGTCTGAGCTGTGACCTGCCGGGGTATGGAGGGCGCTGCGCAAATTCCTGCCAATAATGGGGCCTTGAGCAGAGCTTTTGGGCCCCCTCCCCATCCAGTTCCCCCATAGAGTCCCCAACAGTGAGCAGTTAAAAGGGGGCTGTGGTATCAGATGGACCTTAGTTTTGGGCTGGGATGGGAGGATAGTCCCCCCCCACACACACACACCCTTTTCCAGATAAGGAGGTGGAGAAAGGCCTCGACAGAGGCTCCTGGGCTCTGAGCCCAGGTGGAGGGCAGCCATCCTCTCCCTTCGTCACCACTGACTTCCCCGCCCAGACGGACTTGGGACTCAAGGCCCAGCAAGAGGGGGGCTGGTATCACCACCCACAGAGATCGCACAAGGGTCCCCTTCAGGCCCTGGCCCTGTTCTCACCTGCCCAGGCTCGGAGGCCCAGAGGGGGTCCTCTTCAATATCAGCTCTCCTGTGTCCTCAGTCTGACCCTGTCCTGGTGGCGCTCTGCAGCTCCCCCCACCCCCCGTGGCCCTCAAGACCTTGAATGATGGTGCGTCTTGGGCTCAGGGCCCCACAGAGCCGCAGGAAGACCTGGCTGCTCTCACCCCAGAGGCCTCGGCTTCCTGGGTATACCCTAGCACCGGCACCAGCCCTCCTCCAGGCGCTCCTGGGGCCCTGACGCACAGGTGACCTCCCACAGCCGTCAAGGACCTGCATGGAACCCCCGGGGCAGAAAGCAAAGAGCCCCTCTCGAGTTCCTGCCAGGTGGCCTCTGCTCTGTGTGTCCCCTGCGTCACCAGCTTGCGGCCGTGACCCCTTCTGTTGTTAATCGCCTCCAGGCCCACCCTCCAAGGTCAGCGCCAAGAAGCCCATGTGGCCTTAGGCACTGTCCCGAACCTCCCTTCCGAATCCAAGCCCCCTCTCCCACCCACACCGCAGTCTACCCCACAGCCCATGGTTCCTGGAAAGCTCCAGCTCCCGAGTGCGTCCTGGCTTGAGCTGTGCCCCCCGCCCCCGCTTACGCGGCGGGAGGCGATCTCCCCATTGCCCACCCCTCCGCCGTCTGCTTTGCTGCTTCGCACCCCATCGTCTCTAGCATCTCCTGCTCATCTGGGACGCGCTGCGCCCCCGACGTGCCTCCCGCAGGCGAGGGGCTCCGTCCCGCTCCCCTGGGGCCGCAAGGGCCCTGTTCTCCTCCACTACACACCCCACCTCCCGCTGTCCGCCTTTCGGAGCGGAGGACCAGACTTAGTCCCCCACCCAGCAGGTGCAGCGAGCAGGCTGGTCGGGGGCGGGCGCAGAGGGTGGGGACTCGGGTGGCGAGAAGGGAGCTCGGAGGCCGAGGCGCTCACAGAGAGCGGAGGGCGGGTTGGGGCGCGCACAGGGGGGACGTGGATGACAGGTCGGGGTGCGCAAGGGGGCAGCACCGGCGGTGGGCAGGCCTGGCGCTGCGGGTCTGGGACGCAGACGGAGGGCGGGAGCGCGCACGGAGAGCAGGGGCGCGCGCATGACGGTAGCTCCGCCCGGCGACCGGCGCCGCGCTGGGCCCCAGCCGGGTCCTCGGTGCACCCCCCGGGCCCTGGGAGGCCCGGATCCGAGCTCCCGGCAGAGGGAGGGTCCCCGCGCGCCTCGGCGTTCCTCCTCCCTCCGCTGGGCGAAGGTCAAGAGGAAGCCACTGCCCACGTCGGGCGGAGCGGGAAAAGCGGCCCTTGCCGCCACCCCCCACCCCCGCCCCGCCGCCAGCCCAAGGGACGCGGACAAACTCGGGCTTCCGGGCGACGGGGGCAGCCGGCCGAAATCCGAACCACTTCCTGCGGGACCGCACCCGCCGCGGCCCAGAGGCTCTTCTGGGCAAGGGGCCCCCTGGCTCCCAAGCTCCAAGCCCAGTCCCGGCTCCCGGGAGCCAGCGACCTCCACTCAGCCCCCTGGGTCTGAGCCACTCACCTGCAGCCAAGAGCTGGGGCTCGCACGACCGCGGGGACAGGCCGTCTCACCTGGGCCAGGTGCGCAGCGGCGACGAGCCCGGCGGCTGCAGGTGCAGCCCCGCCCAGTAGCCAGGGCCGGAGGGCGGACCCAAGAGTCCCCCTTTGCGCCCAAGTCTGGCTCTTAAGACTGTCCTGCTCGCAGGCGTCAGGAAGCCTCGGAGCTGCAACCACCCCGCCTGGGGGCACAGGGCCAACCAGCCCGGCCAGCCGGAGAGTCTTGGACCCGAGGGACTCCTCATAGTTTCCACTGTCCCCAGGGGCACCTTTGGTGGTTCTGCCCCTCCTCCCCAGTTCTTCCTCCAGGAAGCCTGCCTTGACTCCTGCCCCAAACCCCAAGTGCGGGGAGGGTAGGACCTCAATAAAGCACCCCTCACTTGGGAGCCCAAGGAATGTTGAGAGGAGGACCAGGACACTACCACATTCCAGACCTTTCCCCATCTGGACTCCAGTTTCCCATCTAGCCCTGAGGACAGACACAATCCACCAGTGGCCCAGAATCAACAGAAAAAGTGTTCATTTTACTCTAGAAAGTTCTGTAGACAGAGGGGAGCCAGAGAGGTGGGGTCAGGGTCCCCTGGCCGGCCAGGAGGGTGGTGGGGCAGGACCTGGGGTCCCACAAGTCAGAGGGAGGCTCAGAAAACAGGGCTGGTTTCCCTGTGTTGTGGCCGCTGAGAGGCACCCCCACCCCAGTTCTGTGGGTGGCAGGGGTCAGTTCAAGCTCAAGTCAGGGCTGTCCCAAGTCTGACCCCTACCAGACGGAACCGGCCTCACAGACCCCAGCCTGCTGCTCACAAACACCTCACACACACACTGGCCCTCCAAGACCCCACACAGACACAGACTTGCCCACATGGACACCAGCCTCCTGGGACCCCGACATATGGTGTGAGCGGGGCGGCAGCAGGAGGCACTGGCGTCTCCCAACGGGCTCCGGGCTACACCTCTGTGCTCCTGGAGCTGGAGCCGCAGGCAGGAAGGGCGAGTTGGGGGTCGGGGCCAAGGCCCTCCCTCCAGCCCCCCGGCACCCCAGTCTGCCTCCCTCCATCCCATCTGCTTCCGCACCGCATCTTCTCCCGGAGCATCTGGTACTTCTCCTCCAGGACCTTGTTCTTCACGGACTGAGGGACGTCAGGCACGAACCAGGCCGCGATGAGCTTAATGCACAAGGCCACGTGCTGGGGGGCAGGGCACAAGGGCTGGCTGGAGAGGTCAGGACCCACCTAGCAGGGGCTTCGGGGTGTGGCTAGAGAGAGCCGCCCCGCCCCCGACCCCTCCCCCGGGGCTGGCCCACCTCAAAGAGGATCAGGAAGACCAGGCGGATGGCCAGGAGGACCCAGAACTGCTCTGATAGGCTGTAGTCCGGAGCATTGCGGTAGTCCCGGTACCTGGGGTGCGGAAGTCGCGGAGGTCAGGGGCCAGATCATCTGAGGATGCCCATGGGGGAGGGGAGACCCAAACCTGCACTGGGTCACATTCTCCGAGCCTTCCGTCTGGATGGGGTCCTGGAAGTCCTTGGTGTAGAACACAGACAGGCTGTGGTTGACGTAGCCTGTGAGGCAGCTGGGGGAAGGGAGAGCAGGGGCCGGTGAGGGCTGCGGTGTGGCCCCTTCAGGCTCGCAGGGTGGTGCATAGCACAGAAGCGAGAGGGCAGGGAAGGGAAGGGACTCAGGGTGCCCCCGCCGGCCTTCCCCACAGGAGTTTCAGGGAGCCGTCCAGGGGAGAGGCCTGGAAACCCGTCTGTAGCTACAGCCGACCCTTGGAGGGTTGGAGGCGCCAGGTAAGGAAACTCTCCTGTCGTCTCCTGGGGAGCAGCCCCAAGGGTCTGCCTTTGGGAGGGAGTTACTCTGGTGGGGTCTGCTCAGGGAACAGCTGGTTCTGGGACCTTCCTTCCGCCACCAGGGTCCCACCACCGCTGCGGTCTGCAGGCTGGTATAGGGGCAGGGCCACCCCCATGCTCCGACTCATGACAACCGCAGACCCTCCTGGCAGCATCAAGCCCTTCCCCCGGGGCCCCCTAGGGCTGAGCCGCTGTTTTCCAGGGGTTTTCCCAGGGCCAGTTTTCCCAGGGGTCTCCAGACAGTCTGAGGCTCCCCCAGCGCCCCCTTACTCGACAGTGGGCTGGGCCCCCGTTCGGCACGGGCCGTAGTGGTACTTGTACACCACTCGGGGGATGAACTCGGACGTGAAGGCGATGACCATTCCATTGGCAATGACGGCCAGCACGCCGATGGTCTCCAGCACCTGCAGCCAGGTCCCTGGGCCACAGCAGCGGGGTGAGGCATCTGGCCGGTCAAGCCCTGACCCTCCGGCACCAGCAGCCTCCCCTCCAGCCCCCCTGCCCAGGCTGGGAGGCTCAGTGCTCGGGGGCACCTGCTCACCTCTGCCTGTGCCACTGCTCATGGCGGCCATCGGCAGCCTCTGCTGAGGCAGACGTGCACCAGGAGGGGCTCAGGTCTCCCCTGACCCCCATCTTCTGCCTGAAGCCCTCAGCTGCCCCCAGGTTTGCTCCACTCCGGGGTCAGAACCCCTTAACCCGGGCCTAAGACTAGGGCCTCCCCTCCTACTCCTACTTATCTCTCCCTCTGCCCATATCCAGCATCCCACCCCCTCTGCCCTTCCCTGACACCTGGCCATCTGGGTGACAGAAGCCACATCATCGTCCTGCTCTTAGTCCCTGCCCCCAGCTGCTGGACCCCTCCCTCCTCCAGCTCCCTGCTCTCAGAGCCCAGCTCTTCTGCCCGGGCCCCCAGGGGGGCCGCCGTTCCTTCAGCTGGCTCCCGCAAGGTGCACGCCAGCCCTGCCTCTTCCGAGCACCAGCCCCCTCAGGCCAACTCCCAGCCTGGAGAAGGGCGGGGGCTGTCTGGGGAGTGAGGGGGCTTGTCTCAGAGAGATCATTTCGAGGAAACCGGCATGATCTGATCCCAGCAGCCCTTGCCGCCCCATACCCAGCCAGAGGGCCTGTGCCCCTCGCCACCCAGTCGGGCCCCTGACCGATGTCTTTGGCCTTGCGGGGCACCAGGCGCCGCTGCAGCCTGACCATCTTGATGGCGTCCAGGCGGATCTCCACGAGGTTGCTGAAGAGCGCGAGCAGCGGGGCGAGCGGGAAGGCGGCCACGAAGATGGTGGTGAAGCCGTACTGGATCACTGGGGGGGTGAGGCTGATGGTCACCGTGCTCTGCAGGGCACACCCCGCACCTGACTGCCTGCCCCCGCCCACCAGGCCCCCAGGACCTGCCCTGCAACTGGCTGCTGATGGGCCCGAGCCCCGGCCACCCCACGTACTCATCTCCATGAACTCATCGAAGAGGCTGAAGGTGCCGACTGGGTTCAGGAGGTAGTTGTGCCACAGGTCCCTGAGCTTGGGCTCCCCGGACGCACGGCCCAGCCTAAACCTCATGAGGCGCCACTTGTGAGCCAGCCACCTAAGGGGCGATGAGAACAAGTGGGGAACAGGGCGGGGTGCTGGGGGTGGACGGCCTGTGTGCACGAGGGCTCCCCGGGGTGAGGCGGGCACCGGGACAGCCCTGGGGGGGTCCTCACGGGCTCAGGTACTCCACACAGTTGCTGAGTGTCTGCTTTAGGCCCATGATGATGGCCATCTGCAGGAACAGGTCCATCATGCAGCCGCTAAGATGGCACTGTGGGGGCAGGGCTGGAGGTCAGGTGTGGGAGGCAGGGCTGCGGGACAGGGAGGCTTGTGGGGAGGGAGGTGAGTGGCAGAACAGCAAGGTGTCCAGGACAGACTGACCTCCTCCAGCTTCCACAGCCCCGCCAGGCGCACAGACTTCCCGGGGTGACCGTTGATCCTAGGAAGGACAGTTAGGCTGGAGGAGGGGCATGGGACGAGGCTTCTGACTGGGTGGGGTGGAGCAGAAGAAGAGAAGGGGGAGTGGGGCAGTAGAGAGACGAGGGAAGGGAAGGGAAGAGCGCCTCGCTGCGGGGACACAGAGGCTGGGTCCTGGAAGCTCGGCCCACACCCAGACGCACCCCTGCACACGCACTCACACATGGGCACAGGTGAAAGCCCAGCTGTCCACAGGCTCAGACAGGTTCCAGACAAGGCCTGTCAGGAGTGGCCTCAGTTTCCCCCCACTGAAACTATGCACATAGTTTAAAATCACCTACTTTCCATTACATGATAAAAAATACAAACTATATTAAACCAGAAGTCAGGCTTGTGGTCGACGGTCAGGAAGACAGGCTCACTTCTAGGGGCTTGGACGGCTGAAGAGTCGGATTGCAGGGTTGGGCCAGAGGACCCCGAGACCCCACACTGTCCCTTCCCCAGCTGAGCTCCAACCAACAGTGACAAGTGTCCTTCTGCTTCCAGGCAAGAGTCGAGGGACTGACAGAGCAAGAGGTCCTCACGGGAGAGATGTGGCCCAGAGCAAAACCACTGGCACACGACTTTCTCAATTATGGACAAGTGACATCTAGGGAAAGCCTTTAACACCAAAATCAGAGACCAAGTAAAGAAAGTGCATGACACCCCCCCAAAAAGCATAAAAGGAGCTTGGAAGAAACAGAAGTGATACCAGAATAGAAGGAAAAAATGAGGCAAGATCCTCAGAGAAGACAAGCCGTGGCGTCCCGGTGCCACGAAGCAGACACCATGGAGGAACCGTGCCGAGCGGCCCTGGAAGGAAGAGTATAGAAGCGTGACAGTCAAAGGGCTGGAAAACAGAGTCGAGAAAAACTCACAGAATCTGGAACAAAAATGGGAGGGGAAAAAAAGCAAAGAAAACTAGATGGTCAATGCAGAAGGTCCGGTCTGCAAACAAACAGAATTCTAGAGAGGGGAGCAGAGGGAACCGAAGACACTAGATGTGTAAGAATCGCTTAGAACTGAGGGACCCAAGGCTCCAGGCCCAGCAAATGCCTGGGAGTTTCTTTCCACGTGACTGATACTGAGTCTATACGGCAGGCCTGCCGCAGGCACTAACTCAGGGACATCAAGCCCCTGTGCCCCCTGCGGTAGAGACAGGGAGCAAACATGCGCATGGGGCCAGAGGGGACGTGGGGAGCCTGGGAGACCCGGGTTCTGGGCTGGACGGTGGAGCTGCCACGTGGAGGAGGGAGACTGAGGACAAGCCTGTGGGCACGGTAAGGTTGGGGTGCCCAAAGGGCATCTGAGGGGAGCTGAGAGGCAGCTGGACCTGGGAGTCTGGACTCCAGGGAGAGGTCTGCAGACAGGAGTGCGGGCCTCACTGGTGGGGCTAGATGGTGTTTGAGATGCGCCTGCAGTCCTGGGAACAGATAGCAGCGTGTTGCGACATTTAGAGGCTGGGAGAAGAGGAGAAGCCGGCATCGGGGAAGGCTCGAGCAGGATCCGGGAGGGGGAAAGCAGGAGCCGGGAGGATGGGCCGTGGGGCGTGGTGGGGAGAACATTCCTTGGAAGGAATGGGACAGGATGCTTGTGTGGAGGTGGAGATAATCCC